TGCTGGAGCGCGGGGACTGGAGCGAGCTTTCAAGGCATTCATTTGACACCATGAAACTGCTTCAAATCAGTTGGGAACAAATTCTACAGTCCAAAGAGTGAACCCCTGCACTTCCAATGACGTCACCTTTTCATTGTTGCCAGTAGAGACTTTCAGTTTGAAAAACACGGTGAGGACCAAAATTGTAAATTCAATAACTTCGTGAAAAAAAATTATTTTGACCTAATATTTGGGATACTATTTTGGCGATGTTGTTTGGCGAGTTTAGCAAAATTTCAAGCAAATCGGGGACCATGTAGAAATCGGCGGAGTACCCCTTTAAAGGAGGACCAGCAGAGATATTCTTCAGCCTGGCGGAAAGTCCTCCTCGCCCTCTTTTTTTCCATTTCTCTCCTGTCTTGCAGCACGGCGAGGCGGGGGGAAGGGTCCCTTTTTGCGCCGGCTTCTTCTGAGAGGATAAGCCGAGAAAATCCCCATTGTGAGAGACGGGCGATGGGTTTGGCAGCAGCGACCTCGTGACTTACGGGTAGCTTCAGCTCTTATCGCGTAATCTGCCCTATTTTTTGGCGCTCGCCAAGCTACTCCGTTTCACCTTCCGTCCAAGCACAGCGGACGCTAGGAGCCATCCCAGCCAACGCGGCGTGAGGGAGTGTCATGCGACCTTGAGCTCCCTGTGTCGCCCCGCCCCACCGGCAGGTCACGCGACTTTCTCCCGGCGCTGGATCGGCTGGGATGGCTCGTGGCGTCCACCGCGCTCGGACTGAAGGTGGAACGGAGTATAGCCCCTCGGGCGTACAGTTCACGGAGCTGCAAGGCTGCGCCCTTCCAGACACCGAATTTGAGCTGTCGAGGTTGTTTGGCTGTAGCCCGTGGCAAAGGAAACATACTTCGGAGCTGCGGTGCATCCCCACACCCATTGAAGGTACGTTTCATAGATATTCTCGGTTGATCAAGGAGCTTAGAACACATGCGCGAGATGTGGTGACTTCAATATGTGAGGTTGACTGACATATTCACAAAACATTCCATCTTCAAGAGACAGGCTTATTACGCTCAAACCTGCCTCAATTGGGATCGCTGGAAGACAGAACTATGTACCAGGCGCGGGCATCTTGTAGCGGATCTCTGTTTTCTAGCAGCGAGCACAAATTATTGTGTGCGTAACTCACACTATATGATGGCCAACAAATGTAGATGACATTTATATTTACACATCCCAACAACCGCATGAGGTGAGAAGGCAGCAGTTGTGTGTGTCGATATTAAAAAAAGTTTTAGTGGATCGTTTTAGCTCTTGGATAACCGTATCCTACATCAATATATAAGCTATACCCTTTCTGTGAGCATTATTTATCGAGTGCGGCTATCGAATCGTGTCGTGTTATGGTTCAACGTTGCTAAATCGGTGCTATAGCACGTGCTGCCGCTTTAAAGTATTTTTGAGCCATTAAAATAAAAGAATAAACTAAACGTAGGCGATTTTTTTTTAACATGAAACGCGTTTGTAATTTTTCATTGCAAACAGATTTTAGGTATACTGCCACACAGTTAGCAAGGACAAACTATCGCTGGTTTTTCTCGTTTTGTTTTCTTAGAAGTGAATGATGTTTAGAAAACTGTTAATGTGAGTATTCAACCTAAGTGGCAGAGCTTAGTGCTAGACAATACATGTTGCTGGGCAGAAATAGTAAAAAGCGCCAATGTCGCGTTCGGGCTAACACTGCCACGTAGTGTACGAATACCGCTACAAGATCAGCGCAAGCATATTATGGGAATGGATCTATTACAGAATTTGTTTTAATAGGTGAAAGGTTGCCATTCTTATACAAGCAATTCGAAAAAGAATGCTTCTATTGGGCGCCGCCAACGGTTCGGCAAGCTGGGCTAATGAATCGGGAACAATGAGAGCAGCATGCCGGCAGTCGCCATTTTCTCTAAGCGGAGTTTTGAGGCGATTCGACAATCTGTTGTCGCTGAGACGGCGTTCGTTAAAACGAGCCTCTCTAAACCGCATGCCACAACTTTGCGTACACTGTTTATTGAGTCGCACCTCCTTTTTTATCAAGCTCAACAGAGCGCTGTAGGGAGGCAGACAGATGACTTCGTTCAATGCAAACTTTTTTCTCAATTAGTTTTGTTTCAATCGAATTATATGCCTGTATAACTAACGTGGTTTCTCTATACTCCCTGTAGGTGTATAACGTTCAGCGGACGGCCAGATGGAGTGCACCGAATGTTTTTGCGCTCCGTGTATACTGACCCAAGGCCACGTGAGGGTGGGGATGGGCCAGGCACCGTCGTCCAAGAATCCTGGGGTTCGCAAAAAGTATTACAGAATGTACTGGGCCTGCCTGGCAAATCTGGCCGCTTGGCGTGACCCCAGGTACTTGGAGAAGAAGAGACAAGCCGGCCAAGGAGTATATACTAAGCGTGAATTGATGCCAGTGTGCGTAGTTGCACACGTCCGGTGCCTGTATCCAAACCCACCTGGTGTTCCCTACATGGGGCACATGTGGGAGTAAACTATTTGTGTATAAAGTCTCTGGATTCAGCGCCTTTCTTTCTGTGCCTAGTTATTAGTGCAGTGTTAGCACGTTAAATGTCTCAAATCTGTAGTCCACCTTTTTTTCTTGAAACACCTAGTGCGCATGCCCTCTATCCATCGTCCCTGCGTGGGTTCGGGAAAGCGTTTTGCCCCACCAAATTCGCCATATTGTTTGTTCCACTCTGGTGAGGGGCGAGCCGCGTGAGTAACGCTGACTCGTGTAGCTCTTAGCAGGCTCTCGCCACCGAGTCACAAGTCGGTGCCTGCATCGCGACTGCTGGTTTAGGTGACCCGCGTTTCGTCAAGCTGTTTTTACAGCTTTCTTTCCGTGTCACCTTTTCAACATTGGTTTTGTTGGAAAAAAATAGAGGTACTATTATTATTATAACCTCGCGTAAAGTTCAATAAGGGAGCACGACCTCGAGCGTTTTCAACAGCCGGTGGTATAGGTAGCAATGGGGCTGTACAACACTAGAGCGCACGTTAGAAGAACGCCGACATTAGACCGCCGACAGTAGAGCGCCACGACGTTAGCTCGCGCGACATGAGAGCGCCGCAACGTTAGAGCGCACGACTCGAAAGCGCTGCGACGTTAGCGCGCTCGACTCGAGAGCACATCGAGAGCGCACAACCAGTCAAGCGCGAGTGGCCCAACCACTTCTTCGGGCATCGCGTGCTTTATGTAAAATTGGCGGGGATTTACGCCGTGGCATTCGGCAAGGACATTGCGAAATGAGTCGACGAATTTTTTTCGTGTAACAAACCAAGAAATGTTTCAAAAAACTGACAGCAAAAAAAAAAAAAAAGATTATTTGTAGCGTATATTTCCGCAGAAAAAAAAAATGCAGCTGATCTATATAGCTCCATTAGTTTTCTGATGTTATATCTCACAGATTTGAAGGGGAGGTTTTCCTGTATCCGTCAAAAGACTGGAAAGCTTTGCATCCGATAAAACTGCGCTGAGCTTTCCTTCGATGAGTGTTTTACTGAACTTTTTTAGCGGTGAGCTTTTTTCATTACGGTCATGGACGTCAAAATACTATTAAAGTTATGCGAGAAACGTCCCAATAACCGCCAAAATGATAGGGGTCCAAATGCCTGTCAAAAATAGACCAAATATAGCAAAAAGCAAACATTTATTGTATATCCGAGAGACGCACCGCACCACCGTGAAGACATCTTAGACTCGCTGCTCCACTCAACTGCAGGCATTCCCGGTACCTATATGGCCACACCCTTGCCCCCTTCTCTCTTCTATGTCAGCAAACAATTGGTTAGAAAGAGCCGTACCCTTTTTATTTTTATTTTTTTATTAAAGGCATCTTTAATAAATCGAAAATCGCCAATGCTCCGATTCGATGAGTCGCACAATTTAGTTCTGTCTGTGGAGCCGCGGGTACATCCCACAATTTGCAGTGTTCGCTCAACTGGGGTGCGCTCTCGTGACATGCGCTCTGGTATCAAGCGCGCTACTGTCGCAGAGCCTTCGCGTCGCGCGCTCTAACGTCGGCGCTCTAGTGTCGCGCGTTCTAAAGGTACCCTCCCAGCAATCGGCTGCCTAAATTACTATTGGCCGGATTCGGAGAAAAGCTTTTCTTTCACTTTCCGTGCGCTGATAATTTTCCCGTCATACAGTTGGCGTGGATACGTGACGTCAGCAGCGAAATAACACCACACACGGTCCCGAGTAAGGTTCGTACCGTCGGGAAAATTACGGACTTCCTGGTCCGCCTCAAATGCGAACAGAATTTCCTCATCTCAAAAAATCGCAACACGACAGCCCCGAAACGTAAATAACGTTTGCAAAATGCCGACGACAATATATACAACGCAAGCTAAAAACCAAAACTGAAGAAGCCATGGTTATGGTACCGCGGTACAAGAGCGCGATTTCTGGTGCGGATCCGTCTTGAACCCAGCTACAAATATTCAATCCTCTTAGGCAAGTGCATAAATTGCAAAATTATATTGCACATTTATTTTCAAAATAAATAGGGCATGGTGCGCAGAGGAATTGCTAGCTTAGTTTGTTAAAAAAAATTGGAAAAAACGAGAACGGAAAAACAGTGTATCACTCACTAGCAGACAGATATCGAGCCTAACTTAGATAAATATACGTATAACACCGAAACAAATATTGCCAATGCCAGAACACGCGCGGTGCGTCAGAAAATACTCGCAATATACTGTGCGTCAAAGGCTGTGCTTTTCTTGTGAGTCTCGACTGCAATCAAATTAATTTTTCTCTTCAGCTAATCTATTTTTTTATCGAAATTATTAATATCTCGTTCAAGACTCACGAGAGGCACAGCCAAGAGGTGATGTACATTCTGCTGAGCTCTGATCTATTTATGCGCTAAGTGTAAAAGGGTGAGCACTTTATATACTCCGAAACCCCTCGACGGGCGTTTATTCGGAATTTGTACTTCGGAAGATCACACCCTGGTTGAAGCTCTGTCGCAATCGTATGTACCGGTTAGCGTTCACTTTCTCTTGTGTGTCATCTGTATTTGGCAACGACAAAAGATTGTCATGAAAATTGTATATTTGCGTAATAATTACAGGTACATCTTTGAGTCCGCGGAATGGCTTTTTCTGTCCCTTGTCCAGTGATGTCCCGAGCTGGGAAATAAAAACAAACAAACATGTAGAAGTACACACAACAATTGCCCAACTGTTCTAATGAAATAAGCTTGCTTGTTATTATACGTCAATGGTACTAGTTTAAATTTACATTAGGCATACCTATAAGTTATACACTCTCGTCATTCACAAGGGAGTCGTCATTCACCGTGCTGGCATCTCCCAGGGCAGCAGACCGAAGCACCAACTCCCGAATCTTTTGAACGAAGCTGGAGGAAAAGAATAGCGGATTAGTATTCCATGGCAACACTGTACACTTCAAAATATTCTACCTGTATGTCTTCCTGAAGTACTTCCTTTTCCCGCCTTGCCGGTCTGGATGACGACAGTCCTCAATAGAGTAACGTGAAGTGTAGCCTCGCCCAACATGCTCATTCCAGTCTAGGAGTGCCAAGCTCTGCCTCAGTTTGTAGCTTCTGTCCTGGTAATGAATCCTCTTCTGGAGGTAAATTAGCATAGTATTATTGAATGACTCTACATAGAATGTATCCTTCGACTTTACGTAATCTTCCGCGTTCTTGTAGATGGTTGTTGATTTCAGAAATTTTGTTAGAAGTTCCGACGCTAGCGGGTCTTTCACGAGCAGCGTTGTCGGGACATGTCCATTTTCTTTGCAAATTGATTCCTCGCTGCATTTCTCGTGTTTACCTTCAAAATGGTTTACGCAGTTTATGAAAATATCTCTTAGCTTGGTTGGATTCCCCTCACAAGCGGCCATAGCATAGTACGCGTGGTTACGGACCGCTTGGCACTTGTCGGACAGCTCCACGTGCCATGTCTTGCCCTCGTTCCTCTTCGGTCCAGATGAAATTGCAAGAAATCCTTTCTTGAGGCTCTTCGCAGCGTGCCAGCGGTTGTTGGAGTTGGATGGCCCGTTTTTTTCTCTGATTATTTTATTGACTGTGGTGTTGCGGTCGTGTGCGTGATCTAGCACGGAGATCTTTTTAGAATCGAAGTACTCGTACAGCTTTTTGGTACCGAACGCTTCGTGCTTTTGGGAAGATAGTTCATCCTTTTTGTTTACATGAACAATCCCTACAACTTTGTGGGTCATTTGGCCAAGCGCGACGACATCTGTGTGAGTGGAGTTCTTCCGGCAAGCGTGCCGAGCATCAGTCTCGACACTAATTGCTGTCGAAGTGGGGTCATGTTGCTCGGTGGCCCTTGATTCGCCCTCTTGCGCGGCTGCCAGGCTTTCAAGCTTGAGCAACTCTACAGCACCTTCGATATCTACAAGCAATTTCTCCACAGTGCGAGGGGAGTATGGCAATTTGCTAAAATTGCAAAACTTTTCAAACTGCGTCGCCAGAACTCCAGAGGAGGCATACGCCACCGTCAGCAAACAGTCTACAGCCCGGACGGAACCGACAACCGTGCTTGTGTTGAGCACCAGTGAATGGTTAATACACTTACAATGTATTCGTGATGCGAAGCCCCAGGCGGTCACTTTCTCCAAAATAAGACTTTCCTTGCACTCTGAACTATGCTTCTCTACAGTCTGAATGACATTCCATAGCGCGGCTTTGTCGCAAACAACTAGGCATGGATCCCCTACAGGGTCAGGCGTGATCGCGCGCGATTCCGCTTCTTGATGCAGCGGCTTCGGTGTGTTGCACACAGCATTCGACGATCGTTCTTCTGAATTCCGTGTTTCAAGAAATCGTCGCAGCGCCTTGATTATCACAGCTGACAACGAGTCACACCTATTAACGGCTTTGGCTTGCTTTATCAAGTCGTCAAAAGCAGTCATCTCCGAGGTTTCAGAAAAAGTGAGGTTCAGGCTTCGTCGGAGATTGCTACGGTTACACACGTATACTTTTTCAGTTCCATCTCGCATTCGCTTCTTGATCAAGTAAACAGGGGAATCTGACTTTTCGCTCATCTTGGCCTTTGGCGCGACTGTTTAAAGTTCTGAAACAAACAAAGCAAAGGTGATTTAATTAACTGAAGATTATAGGTTGAGCGAACTATTTACAAAATTTGAGGTTCCCTGAGCAGCCTTTTGTATTCAATTCCCCCTCCCCTCACCACCCCACTTCCTTTCCTCTAAATAAACAACGTAGATTATTTCATGAACCACCAGTAATAGAGCGTACTCGCAAAATGTCTATTTGATGTAAGAAAGGCCTTGTTTAAATGTTCAAGCAGTGAACTGGTCTTATTACTGTGCGTGACACGCTAAGCACGAACACAATATTGCCATTTCTACTCAAGGGCCATGCAGAATTTAGTATACAACAACAAACATATGCCTCGTAGGTTGGTGCCCAATGGAAGCACTCCTCTAGGGCTGGGCAATTGATCGATTAACCTTCCGATTAATCGATTAATGCTTTAATCGCGATCAATTTTTTTAACCAGTTAATCGGTTAAAATGAGGCGAACAAAAGTAAGTAAATATACGTTTTTTTCCTTTTTCCTGGTGCCGTTCCCTCTAAAACGAACATACAAACTTGCTCCTTGTTCACCTCGTAGGTAACACCCAACAAACAAATCATTCGTCGTGAGTCACGCGGGATTGGAAGAAAAAAGCGAAAACAGAAGCAGAATGAAAGCAGGCTTTACGGAAGTCCGGTGACCTCGGTCATGAATTTGGACGTTATAGCTACGCACTCTTTTTGAGCACACGCAGCAGCTTTTTTTTTTTTTTTTTTTGAAGGCACGCAAGCATGTTTGCTTACGGGTTTGCAGCGACAAAGCTAGAGCTCTTCCGAAGGCTGCCTTGATCCCCATTGTGGGTCATGCTCCGTCCTTGCGGTCGCTACAACGTGACCTCGCTCGTCCCTCCGCTCGTTCAGCGTGGTGCAAAGCCGGCCGTGGTCGTGGCTTGCTTCAGTATTCGACCCTGTGTTTTATTTGTGTGGTTGGAATTTCTCTCTCGGCGTCGCTTTTGCCTCTTGACGCAACGACCTTGGCGGACCTGCACTGCCCGTGGCAAAGTGCTTCCAGATGTTCCCCCGTTCTCTCGTCGTCTTTGACGAGTTGGCGCCGCGCGCAGCCGGATGGGCTCGTTTCCCTTTTCCCCGTAAAAAGGGGCCTTTCCTTCGCCGGGGATTTTCTGTTTGTTGAAAGCTTCAAGGACGTCGTGAATTAGTGCGCGGGGGTAAAGTTACATGAACGACGAAGATGTTTCATCCTGTTTTTGTCCTTCATGTACTACTCCTATAACACCTTCAGGGACGTCCTCGAGGGATCGACGCTCCTCAATTATCCCCGTCTCCCTTGCCCCCGTCTTTCCTCTTCCCTTCATGTCGCGCCGCAGTCACTTGTTTGAGAAGTATCTCATCACAACACCCTGCGCAGGCATGGACGAATACAGGAGTATGAAGGGCAACCTTTCAGGGAAATTCGGGTTTAAAGTAAACTCCGCGGGCGAAGTTTTTGACTTAAAGAAAGTTCACTGCCTCATCTGCAAAAAAGCTTTCGCATATAGCGAAAGTGTAAGCTCGCTTCAATACCAACTCAGAGCTAAGCACCCAAGCATCTCGCTGCAACAAGAATCATCTGCAAAAAAGCAGACGACTATCGACGTTTCCTCTTCGAGGCCGGTTTCTCTGAAGAAAGAAAAAACTATTGCACAAGCCCTTACATCTTGGCGTGTTTCTTCTAGCCGGCCTCTCAACATTGTGGAAGATCACGGACTAGCGAAAGTTCTTCAGATTGCCTTGGATTCTCCGTCTTACCAGCCGCCGTCCCGTCGTGCAGTGAGTGCCAAGGTGGATGCCCTGTATACCTCGAGACGGGAGCGTCTTCAAGCAGAACTCTCGGCAGCCAGCTTCATCAGCTTAACAGCGGACTTCTGGACCTCCATCGCCAATGACGCCTACCTCGGGATAACGGCGCATTGGATCGACGACGACTGGATGCTTCGATCGGCAACATTGCAGGTGAGAAACGTACCTGAGCGCCATACAGCGGAACAATGTGCCAGTGAGGTATTGGAGACTGCTACAGATTGGGGAATCGTTGAAAAGGTAAAAGCTGTATGTTCCGATAACGCCCGCAACATCTGTCTTGGGGTGGAGAGAGCAAACTTTCAGAGTCTGAAGTGCGCAGCTCACAAGCTTCAGCTGTGCGTCCACAAGGCGCTCAGCGTGACGGGTGTGGAGCGACTGCTAGCCGCCTGTCGTCGTACTGTGGGTCACTTTAAGCACAGTTCGAACAACCAGGCCGTCCTTTCAAAACATGCCGCTGAACTTGGAGCACCTAAGAAGAAGCTTCAGCAGGACATCGCAACACGGTGGAACAGCACGTACATAATGATAACCAGCCTGCTTGAACTGAAGGAGCCTTTGCGCCGCTCCATGGAGGACATCAGTACCATTAAATCGTCGATTCCCCACCTCACAGACGTCGATTGGGACATGTTGGAGCAGCTACGGGAAGTTTTGAAGCCCCTGCTCGACATTACTGAGCTCCTTGGAGGGGACAAGTACGTTACTCGGTCTGTACTTATTCCAGCCTTAAAACTGCTAAAGAATAAAATAAAGACGAATGACTGTGACCCGGCCTTCATCTGCCGCTTCAAGGCCATGCTGGTGGACTCTATCGATGAGAGGCTTCGCGCGTGGCCGCAATACAACGACTATGAACTGGCAACGTGTCTCGATCCTCGTTTCAAGAGCCTCGCATGCATCGAAAAAGATCGCCGCGAACTTGTGTGGGAAAGGCTTTCCCAGCTAGCACATGCGTCTTCGGACGATTCTACTGATCTAACGCCCAAGAAAAAAAGAAAATACGTTTTCTCGGAGGAAAATGAAGAACCCACCATCGCCTGCCAAGTGTCGCTTTATCGATCGATGGCCAAGGTGACGGACGATGAACTGGACCCACTAGAGTGGTGGCGAGCTCAGGGCTCCCTGTTTCCTCAAATTGTGCCAATTGTGAAGAGTGTGATGTGTGTCCCAGTCACCTCAACGCCCTGCGAGCGTCTGTTCAGCGCAGCAGGGATGATCGTCAACAAACAAAGAAACTCGCTCCTGCCGGATAATGTCAACAAACTTCTTTGCCTCCGCAGCTGGGGTTGTGATCTGCGAGCGCGTTACATCAACGTTTATTCTCAATTAAGTTTGTATATATGCGCCGTTTATCATACAATAAAACAAATTGTAAGGACAAAATGTCTACTTTTGCTTTTTACTAAAGTCAACCGATTAATCGATTAATTAATCGATTAAAGGGTAGCGATTAATCGGGTTAAAATTTTTAATCGACGCCCAGCCCTACTCCTTACCGAATTGATTATATAAAAATAACAACTTTTCAACTATAAAAAATTAACACCACTTTTTTTTCCCTAACTTTGCTGATTTACTCCGTTTCCGTTGATTGTGTAGCGGTACGCGTACATTACGCGACACTGTTCGCGCGAACAACATCGGCGCTTTTTGCTATTTTCCACAGCAATGTATTGGCTCGCACTAAAATCTACCGCTTAGGTTGGATACTCGTATTAACAGCTTTCTAAACATCATTCCTTTCTAAGAACAAAAAAAAAAAAAAAAAATAGGGGGGAGGAGAAAGACCGGCGATAGTTTGTTCGTGCTAACTGTATGGTGTAAGGCGCCTAAAATGTTTTTATAATGTTAAATTACCATTCTGTGCCACATTAAAAAAAATTGTCTGCTTTTGCTTTAGTCTTTATTTGAGACACAACAAATACTTCAAAGCGGCGCGCGGCCCGTGCTATAGTACCAATACAAGCAAAGTTGAACCATAATACGACACGCTAGACTCGCCAATATTGCGTTTCCCACTCCATAGCCGCACTCGATAAAGGATGTTCACAGTGAGTCTAGCTTACATATCGTTGTGGGGTACGGGCCGTACGGTCATCGAAGTG